CTTACAGTCTAGTTCTCCTCTCGAATAACCTGGCAAGCTACCGAGAGTATTCTGCTCGCACTGCAGAGCCTGGAAAACTCTCTGGGTGTATTTGATATGCCAAATACAGTAACAATAACGGGTCTCATTCCCCAGACCCTGAAAGAGCCTCCAATGGGGCACTGTTGGGAAGGACGAGTAAAGAGAGGCTGCTGAAATCCCAGGGCTAGGACAAATGGAGACATTACTGGTGACTGCTCGAACAAATCTATGAATAACAGGATGATAGTGATAGTGATAGTGATTTATTTTTACTAACAAATTATTTTTTATTTTCTAGGGGCTACTTCAGATGGTGCACATAGATGGGAAGGGGTCTTATGGGTGTTGGGAGTAGAAATCAGGAATTTGTACATGTAAGGTATGTACTTTCCAACTTGGACCACATCCCTGGCCCATCCAAATAAATGTTAGAGGATAGAGTGATAGTACAGCAGATAGGGTGTTTTCTTTGCATAGCTGGCCAAAGTTCAATCCCTGGCACCACATATGATTCCCTAAACCCTGCCAATAGTGATCCCTGAGTGCAGAGCTAGGATTAAGACATTAGCATCAACAGGTGTGGTCCGAAAATCAAAATGATAATAGTAATAATAAATGTTCAAGTTGGCACTAGCTCTATAAACAAAAGCTTTACCTTTTCTGTATATTGAAACATCATCAGTTTAGACTATTTAGAGATATAATTGATTTCCATACTTTTCATTATGGTACTCAAATTATACCAGTGAGAGCTCCTAAACCTAGCATTTGTTTGAGTTAGTTGGAAGAGCTGGGCTTAATTGGTATTTACAGAGATTTTAGTCCCAGCAAAAGCCAAATACACATTTTTCTCTAGTTACCATGGAACATGTTTGAAGATATGCTGGGATATGAAAAAATGAAGTGTCCACAAAACCATGAAAATGGAAGGCATATCAAGTATCTTTTCAGGCCACAATGCTGAGAAGGTAAAAGTCAATTATAAAAGAAAGCTAGGGTGCAGGGATGGGATGGTGCAGAGACAGTACAGTCAGTAGGGCACCTGCCTTGCACACAGCTGACCCAGTTTGATCCCTGACACCCCATGTGTTCCCCAGCTCTGACAGGAATAATCCTTTAGTGCAGAACCAGAAGCAAGCCCTGAGCAAAGCAAACAAACAAAACTCCAAAACAGAGAGAAAACTCAAACATCTGGAGACTACTAACTCCAAGTATTGGGTCAATAAAAAGCAAATAAATTCTTTAAATTCTGGAAACAGATAAGAGTAAAAATGTAGAGTAATGAGAATAAAATTCATAGCAATACTGGTTTTCATTATCAAACAAGAAAGAAAAAGTTTATATAAGCAATATAGCCTCACATTCGTTTTGTTTTGCTTTGGGGCCACACCTGGTGGTGCTCAGGGATTACTCCTGGTTCTGCACTCAGGGATCGCTCCTGGTGTTCAGAGTGCCATAGGTGCTAAGTATTGAACCCAGGTCGGGCACGTGCAAGGCAAGAGCCCTGTCTGCTGTACTATTTCTCTGATCCCTACCCTCACATCTTGAGGGCTCAGAAAAGGACAAATGATTTATTACAGGGAGTATAGGACTGGAGGGTGTCAGGATGAGTGAAATAAGTCAGAAGGAGGAAGATAAATATTGCATGATCTCATTCACACAAGGTATACAAAGAAACAAAGGAAGGAAGTAGATAACAGCCTGTGAAAACAAGTATTAGACTCTGATAACAGAACCGATGTTATAGGAGAGGGGGACATGGAGGTTTAGCTGATGTTATAGGAGAGGGGGACATGGAGGTTTAGCTGAAGAGGGAGGGTAGAAATAAGAGGATACCTGAGGACAGTGAGGAAGGGATGTTGGCAAACTGACGATCGGGGTGGGGTAGATCAGAACTGAAGAAGAATAAGCTAAAACACTGTATGCCTAAAGCACAAATATTAACAGGATTATAAACCATGCTGCCCTACTACTGATTGTGATAAGAAAAAAGGAAAAGCAAAACACAAAGTCAGGAGTAGGAAGGAAATAATAAAAATTAGAGTGGATATAAAATAGAAACAAAAAGATGAATGAAGGACTGGATTAAGATATGTGCCTTTCATGTGGCCAACCTAAGTTCGCTGCCTGGTACCACGCAGTTCCCTAAACCTTACTGGAGATCCCCCCTCCCCCCCGAGCACTGCCAGAGTACCCCAGATCATCCTGACACTGCAGGGCCTGAGAAGCACCTCATCCCTGGCCTTCACATTGAACAGAGAACCTGGGTAGCTGAGAATCACCAGATGGGGATCTCAAGTCTCCTAAGCACCACATGAAACCAAGAGCTGGTTCTTTGAAAGAATAGAGACTGACAACCCCATATTTAGATTATTAAATACAAAAGGGAGAAACATCTAGTAGATCAGAAGTGAAAGAGAAGCTAAAACAGATATCAAAGAAACACAATCACCAGAGACTACCAGTAATAACTTAATGCTGCCAAAGTGAAGAACCTAGAAAAAAAATGAATGAATTTAGAATCATAACAACTTCCCAGGATTGAATTGAGAGAACAAATAAAGCCTGAACAAGTCAATTACAAGCAAGGAAATTGAAATATCAATCAAAAATAATTTCTCCACAAAAAAGTCCAGGTCTAAATGGTTTTACTAGTGAGCTCAACTGTATCTTCAAAGACCTTCTCAAGCCCTTTCAAAATATTGCAGAAATGGGAATTCTTCTAATTTCTATGGAACCAGCATCACCCTGAGATCAAAAGCAGATAGAAGCATCACATGAGTAAAGAAAACTACAGACCAATATTCCTAATGAACAAAGATCCTCAACAGAATCTTAGTGAACCAAATTCAACAATGTATCAAAATCATTAGACATCACAGTCAAGTAGGATTTATTCCAAGGTGAGATAGTTTAACATATTCAGATCAGTTACCGAGATATTACATCAAAAAGGGAAATATAATAACCACGATTACACTCATGACTGCAAAAAAAACTTTTCACAAAATGCAACATCCATTTATATTAAAATTCAACAAAATGGGGATTGAAGGAACTAATCTCAACATACTAAGAGTATATACAGCAAACCTATAACTGATATCATACTCAGCAGTGAAAAAAACGAAGTCTTTCCCCCCAACAAGACAGGAACTACTATTATTCAACATAGTACTGAGCAATTAGACAAGAAAAATAAATGAAAGCGATCCAAGTTGAAGAAGAATTGACTACAAAAATGACTACACAATGACTACAAAAATGACACAAAAACATACATAGAAAACTATAGACACCGCCAAATAGTTCTTTAAGGTAATGAAGTGAGACAGACTAAGCCGTGGTTTATTTCATCCCTGGTGATGCACAGGAATCTGAATTTGGCTCCAATTTCTTCATCTGTTAAAGTTAAGATTGGGCAACTTAAGCTTGTCAAGTCTTTTCTTACTCTGACAGTCTCTTAGTCTGTAAGTATATCAGGCCATACGAGTGAATAAACGGAATCTTAATCTAGGCTCTTGCAGAGAATATGCACAACAGACATAAACCAAGACGTTAAACTTTATCCCAAGTTCTCTCTCTCTCTCTCTCTCTCTCTCTCTCTCTCTCTCTCTCTCTCTCTCTCACACACACACACACACACACACACACACACACACACACTGTGTGTGTGTCTGTGAAATCTCTGCCTTAAGGGATTCCAAAAATTCTTTGCTACCAGTAGAACTGGCCTCACATGCTATGCAAATAGTGAACCATGACTTTTTTTTTGGAGTGGGGGAAGGGAGGGAGGGAGGAGGCAGGTAAACCTGGCTGCATTCAGGGCTCACTCCTGGGTCTCCATCACTCCTGATCACTCCTGGATTCCAGAGGCCATACATGGTGCCGGTGCCTGGGCTGGAACTCCTGCATGCAAGGCAAGCACGCTGCCACTGGACTCTCTCTCACCACACACAAGTTCTTTCTTTTTCCTTTTCTTTCCATTTTGGGGCCATACATGGCAGTGCTCAGGGGTTACTCCTGACTCTGCACTCAGGGATCACTCCTGCTGGGTTCGAGGGACCATATGGGATATGGAGGATCAAACTGTTTGCAAGACAAGGGGACAGAGCACTCTGGGGCAAACTAAGCAACGGGGTGAGCAAAGCAGCCAAACTCTCTGGGTCTTACTAGCAAATTCTGATTCCCAAGGAGTGCAAAGACACGACTGAGAAGCTGAAAAGGAGATGCAGAGCTGGAAGATGGATAGAGAGAGAAGCATGCAGACAGAAGAAACAGCTGCGGGTCCTGCTGTGGGAGGTGGGGATCAGTGTCCGGGGGTCCCAGAACAGTCCTAGTGCGAGCAAGACCCCGCAGAGACTATGGGGGGGGGTAGCAGGGGGCAGCTAGCATGGTGCGCATACGGAGAAGATGAGACGAGGAAGAGAACCTCCTTGGGATTCAAGGTGCTGGAGTCCCCCTGCCCCCCCGCCTGTCCCCACTCAGAGCAAGCCGAGAGCTGGGAGCTGACCGGGCCATGCTGGGGGCCGCGGGGTGGGTGGGTGGCAAGGGAGGTCTCAGGGTCTGGCCTCTCTCCCTTACCCCCGACCCTGAAGCTGAAGCCACGCTCCCTGTGGGCCGCGAGGTCGCCCTGGGGCGGTCCTTGCAGGGGAAGGCTGGACAGTGTCCAGGAGGCCGCGCGGGCCTGAGGTAAGGCTGCGGAATCCGCAGATGCTGCTGCCCAGGTCCTGCGCGGGGCCCAAGCGGGGCCCGGGAAGGGGTGAAAGCGCCTCGAGCAAGCCTTGGACGTGAAGTGGCGCTGGCCCCAGCCCTCCCTGGTGCCTGCAGAGCCTCGACGTGGCGGCCGGCAGGGGCGAGGGGCGAGCGGTGCTCGGGGCGGGCTGGACCGGGCGCGGCTCCGGGAAGCCTGCAGGGCGCGGCGGGTGAGTCAGCGGGCGGGGTGGGCGTGGGGCGGGGCGGCCGTGGCGCCTATAAAGCCCCACCCGGGCCCGCGGTCCAGCTCGCTCCGCTGCCAGGTCGCTCTGCTCGCCGCGCCCGCCCAGCCCAGGTAAGGGTGCAGCCCCGGGGGCGCCGCCGAGGGGTCGTCGTGGACGGGGACGCCGTGCCCGGGAGGGCCGTGCAGGGGCGCGGGGCGCGGGCCGGCAGGAGCCGGGGCCGGGGAGAGGGGCTGCGGGCCGGGTTGGGTGCGAGGCGACGACGGAGGGGCTCCGCGTCCAGGTGGCCGGCGCGCTGAGGTCCGGGCAGCGCGGGTGCGGGGCGAGCGGGCGGGCACGGGCCGAGTGGGCCCCGCATTCCAGACGCGCCCAGCGCGCGCGCGGGGGCCTGGGCGTGGCCGCGGGACAAGGGGCAGCGGCGCGGGCTGGGCGCGGCCGGGCGTCCTCCCGCGTTTCCCCCGCAACTCTCAGGACCCGCTCAGAAGGTCCATCCACGTCGGCTCCAAGTCACTTTACACCAGCTCGTGGGCGCTTGGGCAGCTGAAGTAGGCTGCCGGAGAAGGCAGTGGGCGGTGAGACACCCCCCAAAGAAAAAGAGAAGAGTGACCAGAAGCGCCCCCTGTCCAGAGCATATGGAGGGGAGTAGCCCCTGATACTGACCCCACCCCCAAGTCTGCGGGCCTCTACCTTCTGGGCAACTTTTTCAATCAGGAAGGAAGTGGGCCCCTTGTAGTTGGCAGCGTGGGGGAGGGCGTGGGGGGGGGGGCGGGATGGTTATCATGCACCGTTACTGGGATGATTATTGAAATGATTGTGACACAGGGGACCGAGGTGTAGCCAAGGGCGGAATCCACCTTCACCCCAGCTCCTGGGGCTGCATTCCATTCTCTGAGCTGTTGAGAAAGCTACCGGGAACCTTCATTTCCTTACTGACCTAGAAAACGGGCTGGACAGGCTGGTAGCTCCTACCACACACGGCAGCGATTAATTAGCCCAAACTGCAGTTGTGGGGGGTGGGGTGTCTAAGGACACCCATTCTCACTTTTGTCCATATAGCGTTATTTTATGTTCATTTTAATTGCCTTGGTTTTCAGTACTGTTCTTGATAGGGTCCCATGCTTACAAAGTTCCAGCACCACACCCCCACCAGAAGTGCCTACTTTCCTCCACCCTGCTCTCAGGGTCCTCACCTCTTCCCGACCTTGGTAAGCTCAGTTCTGTAGACCAGATCTCAGATTCTGTTGCACTGGCCCTTTGTTATCCCCTTGCTACCAGATACATTACGATCCAAGATTTCACACAATATGCCCGATCAGAATTTAATAGGGAAGGTGCGCTGAAAACTTGGAGCATGGTTATCTTCTGGTAGGACCTGCCACATTCAGGCTCTGGCCATTCCCAGCCTGCTCATGAGCAGTGGTTCTTGGCGTATGCATTAGGTGTACCAGGAACTCCAAGGTGCTGTTTTGCAGGATCTAACAAGTGGACTGTGTCTCCAAGGCAGTGTTCTCTGTCCAGAACTTGGTGGTGTGAACGGCAGAATGCACTCTCCATGGATACCGTGTTACAGATTGGGTTCCCAGAACCCTCTGCTTAAAGCACACCCTATCCAGATCACAAAATACTGATAAGAGTTTGTGGGTCATTGTGGGAGGTGGGCGGGGCAGGTTGAGAGAAAAAGGCTATGAGTGTAGAGGAATAAATCACTGGATACATTTATGCGTATTTTCCTAGTCTCCCTGGTTGGCCCCGTTACATTCTTTTAACGGGACAATTGTGACTTAGTTCCCCCCTCTGCCTCCTTTCCTCTACCTGTCTCCCTTTTGAGAAACTGCCTTGTAGCCTCCCCGTGCTGTGGCCTCCCTGTGCACAGCCAACCAGCATCTGGCTAATTAAGTCCAATCTGAAGTTAGGAATGCTTGCTGGGGGGTCCCCGAAAATACTCAGCATCCCGAGGAATGGACACAAAGAGCAAGCCCTGTCCACACCGATAGACCTGCCATTTGTAGACGTGCTGTGGAGCCAAGGAAGCTCAAGGTGGCCAGGCCTTTCGAAATGCACTTCCAGGAGGCTGCCCTTCAGTGGGGACTGTGTGAGTGGCGCCCTCCTTGGCCAGGCATATTGAGACACTGTCAGTGAGCTCCTTCCATCTTTCATCTGAGTTCAGATGAATGAATCTCCAGAGCTCACAGGCCTGAAAGGGGGCCCCCACAGGGGTCTATGATTTGGAGGCAGGCTGGCTTTTTTAAACTCCCTCGGTGCCCAGTGGTCTGCCTGCATCAACAGGAAATGTTGCTGAGTCACTGGCTTGCCTCAGGAACATAGCCCTGGGCTGGAGTCCCCTAAGTGAACCTACCGTGTCCCTGGGCTCTCAGAGAATTGTATTGATTAACATTAGGCTAGCAGCCTGGCTGTTAGTGCCCTAGATAATTTCTGGTTTGAGTCATTTTCCTGGCAAGGTGGATATCTTTCTCTAATTGCTATTGATTTTGAGGGCTATAGGCCCATCCTTGCCCTGTGTGCCTACAGTCTGGCGCCAGGGCCCCTGTGCTGGACCTATTGTTCCCTGCATTTGCTTGGAAGGTGGAGAGTGCAGCTTCTGCAGCCAGAATTCTTCCTTAGTTGAGGATGAGTGTGCCACAGAGAACCCAGGCTCCTCTGTGCTGCTTGAGCCACCCTTGGATTTCTCCGACTCAGAGAGGACCTGCCCGTTCTACTCACCAGCCTGGGTGTTGGGCGTCGAGCAGTGAACAAAAAAGAGACCCAACAGGCAACAAATCTGGGTTTTAGACCAAGTAGGGAGAGAAAGAAAATTGATAGTGTAAGTGAATCAAGGAGCAGAAATTTGTTTCTGAACATTCCTTTTTTTTTTTTTTGTAAATTAATGTTAGCTTCCTTGTGTGGCTGATCTCACTCAGCCTTCGTTTCAGTGCTTCTTCAGCCCTGATGTCCTCATGCTCAGCCTTTTGGGTACGCGGTGCTTAGCGTTAATGTGGCTGAATCTGCCTTGTACCGCTGATGGGATCCCTCGGTGGCGCCTCTCCTCTCTGGTTTGGTTTGTGGTTCTTTTTTTCAGCATGGCATGGACAGAACTCACTTTTCCTGGGGCCTTGCCCTGTTCTCATTATAGGCGGCATCAGAGGAAATTCCAGTCTTTTAAAAAAGCTCTTTCCGCCCATTCACTGTCTGGGCTGTTTTTTCTTCTATCTCTATGTCATCTGCTGAGGTGGGGCGGCAGGGGCGCAGGTCAACAGTCAGGGTTCAGGAGACGCCTAGACTTATTATGATGGCCACACTGAGGTTGCTTCTGGATCTTCTTTCTAGTGGGCATCACAAAGCTGCAAAGCTGTTTTGTGTGGGGGGAGGGGGAGTGGAGGGGTAGGGGGAGAGCGGCACACCTGGCAGTACTCAGAGGGACCGTATGAGGTGCCAGGGATTACACTCAGGTCGGCTGCATGTGGGGCAAATGCCCTACCCCTATACTATCTCTTTGGCCCTGTACCCCAAACTATTAGACCAGCGGAGCTCAACGCTGGCTATCCCGTTAGAAGCCAGCAGCCAACAGCCGTGTTCTGTGGGTTTGAGGGCAAGGCTGGAACGTTGTGACTCATGGGGTTTGTTCTGAGGTGGATCCTCTTGCTCTTTGTTCCCTGTCACACCCAGATGGCTCAGCTTCCATGGATTTCCAGTCCCCAGGCCACGTAGGAACCTTCCCTTCCTCCTGCTATCTGGCCCCCGGAACTAAAGTTTCAGTAGAAGGCCAGTCCCTTAGGGTGCTGAGGGTGCTGAGGGGGTGCTGGGTGGGGCCTGTCTTGAGGAGGAGGAGGAGGAGGCCGCTCTAGGGTGATGGCCTTTGCTCAGAGTCTGGGAATAGCAGCCTGATCTGATTGCGGGGAACAGGAACTCATCTGAGATGTTAGTCCGAAGTAAAGAAAGAAAATGGGGGGGGGGGGGGGCGGAGGGAGGGAAGAGAAGGAGACACACTCGGCCTGGAGAGACGGTTCCAGCAGTTAAGGTGCTTGCCTTGCACACTGCTGCCCCAGGTTCAATTCCCGGCACTCCCTGGAGTTCCCAGAACCCAGTCAGGAGTAATCCCTGAGCACAGAGTTGGGGGTAAGCCTTGGGCACCACAGCATGTGGCCACAAACAAGTGAACCAAAAACTCAACCAAAAAAAAAAAAAAGGACCCTAGTATGTGGGAACTATCCAGAAGTGGGCTCAAAGCGTGGATGCAGGGATGGGGAGACAAAGACAGCAGCTGGCTGGGTGGGAAGAGGCAAAACTCCTTGGCACCCAGCCATGACACATGGACGCCCAGCAAGTTAGGACACAGAGAGCTCCAGAGTACAATGGAAATGAGCTCATGGAGAAGTACCAGTGTGCTGTTTTTGTGTGTGTGTGTGTGTGGGGGGGAGGGCAAGAAAGAGAGAGGGACAGAGAGACAGAGAGAGAGAGAGAGAGAGAGAGAGACAGAGACAGAGACAGAGACAGAGACAGAGACAGAGAGCTCCAGATAGTCTGACTGACTCAGGGACTGTGTGTATGATAGGAAGGTAGTTCAGTGGAAGATCTCAAATGCCGACTTTCTAGTTCTCTGCAGGCATCGGGAGGTGCCCCTTGTAAATACAATGTGGGTCAAAAGAAACACTGAAATTGAGTTGCGCACACAGAGGCCCAAATTTCCCACCCCCTGGAGCACTTCATGCCAAGTGAGGTCATTATGCCCGCCTCTATCATCCACTCCAACCTGGAGCCGACCAGAGGCCCGGAGAGCTGCAGCGGGCTGTAGTTAGCAAACAAATATCGATTCAGATCCGGGCAGAACCGGACGAGCCAGAGCAAATGCCAGGGTGTCCCTCCTGCTCAACGAGACTAAGGCCCCTGGAGGGCTTCCAGGAATCCCCGGGAATGACTTGGCAGTGACTCAGGCATTAATCAGGACCATAAAGCCAGGGAGGGAAGTGTGTGCTCTAAGGAAGAGACTGCCAAGTGAAAATGCTTTGTGGGGGTGGGGAGTGGGGAGTGGAGGACAGCGGGAACCCCATCCCACCCTGAAAGCATTCGCCCTTTAGCTGAAAGTTCTGGTCTGGCTCTGCTTTCTTGATGGGAGTTTCCTGGGTGGAAAGAGGGGGTGATGGTAGGACTTAAGTGGTTAGTATTGGTTTTGGCAGGTAGCCAACCCTCCATGTTCCCACCCCAACCAGATTTTTTCCCCCTAAAAAAAAAACACTAGTTTGTGGCATGTGTCCTGATTGATTCACCATGGTTGCTAGGGATGTGTTTTGTGGCAACGAGTCAACACAACATTCCACAGCCCATGTTTAAGGTGTCTAGTGGGTGTGTCCACACAGCTTGGCTTAGTCCCCTGCTGTGCAGACCATTGCAACACATTTTAGGGGGTTAGTTTGTGTGAGAGTTCAAGTTGAGTTTTGTAAAGAGCCTGTGCCTGTGCTTCATGCTTTGTAGCAATACTTATTTTTACTACCCAAAGCACTGACTTTTAAGTTTCCTTTTCTTTCCTTCTTCTTCTTCTTCTTCTTCTTCTTTTTTTTTTTAATTTTTTTTTTTTGGTTTCTTTCAACTTTTTGCATCTCAAGGTTAAAATAGTTTCAGTTCTGTTTTGGTTGCAGCTCTGAAGTGAAAACAATAAAATACAATTACAAAAAAATCTGCAGGGTCTTTTTTATTTTTTGGGAAACAGGTTATTTAAAACAGTTTTGGGTTTGGGGCATTGTGGGAGTGTGATATAGGATAGGCCCTTATGAGATTGTTTAGATTGTCCTGTCCAGGTATTAATTGTCGATTATTTGCTTTTAAGCAGCTGCACCGAGGTCACTTTGTCATATAAGCTTTTTAAAAAAATTTTTTTGGGGGGGCATAATGGCAATTAATGGTCTCATTGGTTAAAATTTTCAAGCCCAGAGGAGACCGTTTTGTTTCTGCCCTCCACCCCACTCTCTGGTAAATGATTGCAGACCTGTTTGAAGTGGGTGTGGCTTCCAGGCTTCAGCTCTGCACCTTGCTGGTTTGTTTCCTTAAACGTAAACCTTGCCCTGCTGATAAAGGGCCCTTTGAAGCATCTTGTCTGCTTGCCTAACCCATCCCTGGGAATGGAGCAGTGTCAACAGATTGGATCTTCTGATCTGTGTGTGTGTGTGTGTGTGTGTGTGTGTGTGTGTGTGTGTGTGTGTGTGCGTGTGTTTTCGATTTTTGCAAGTTGAAACCAGTTGGAGCTGTGGGTGAGGTTGGCTTTGGAAGGAGTGAGGCAGACAACCATTTCCCTGTTCTGGAGAGAAGCTGGCCAGAAAGGAGAGCTGCTTCTTTGAATACACGGATGAATTTCACATGGTGCAGGGGCGTCCATGGAATGGTCCCAGCTGGCTCCCAGACACTTCATTTTATTCTCATTCAGCAGTACGGGCAGACCTGAAGATAGAGTTCTCCGCACGAGGAAATGGACACTATCATCTCTTTGTACCCTCCCTCTCCTCCTCCCCTCGCAACCCCCAGAGCTTTAAATTGGCATCATCTAGAAACTTCTATTTGAGGCTGCCGCCCCCCCCCCCCCCCCACTCCCCACCCACACCCACACCACCTGGAGCCACAGTTAGGCATGGCTCATTTTAAACCTGCATTTTTCTGTCTTTTCTTTAAAAAAAAAAAAGTGTTAGCAGGCTAGAGAGATAGTACAACTGGTAGGGTGTTTGCTTTGCATGTGGCTGACTTGGATTCAATTCCCAGCACTGCATAGGATCCCCTGAGCCCCAACCTTGTGTGACCACTGAGTTCAGAGCCAGGAGTAAGTCCCAAGCACTGCTGGGTGTGACCCTAAAAACGAAAAACCAAAAACCCAAATCAATCTTGTTAATGTTTATGGTTTTGATGTGCTCAGTTCCCACACCTTTGTCTCTATCAACATGCCCAAGACCCCGACCCATACTATACTCCTCTGCCCCTGAGACATTGTCCGTGAGCTGTGGCCCTGGCCTCTCCGCCATGTTTCCCTGCTGGAAACTGCCAGGGCGGGCATTGCTCTCTTCGCCCATCCTCGGTCCTTGCTGGTCTCCTAGGCCCTAAAGCGCCTTAAAGACATTCTTAAATCTGGAAGGCAACGGACTCTGTGGCAGAGGGCAGGTAAAATATCCTCCCTGCTACCTTCAGTTGTACATAAACATTTTCTTTGGAATACTTGATGAATATCAGGCACACAGTACTCTTGCTCAAGGCAACCTCTTTTGCCTGCTGGATACTGAATGGACAGTTTAGCTACAGAGAGAGACCTTAAAAATACATATTATAGATACTTCTTGGGGTTTTTGATTTCTCATGTGTCCTTGGGCCTGGCAGTGGTTAGGACTTACTCCTTACACTGTGCCCAGGGATCCCTTCTAGTGGGACCATGGGATTATATGTGATGCCAGGGGGTCAAATCTGGGTTAAAACATTTAAGACAAGTGCTGCTATACTGTTGTACTGTCTCTTCATCTGCATTTTTCAACTTTTGTCACTTTTTTTCACTTAGCTGAACCTTTTTTTTTTTTCACTTAGTCAGATGCATTAAAGGTATCCCCATGTCTCTGTGTATGGCATAATGGTATATTTTCTTTTAGCACTGAGCTATACTCCATTGTCTTACAGTTTGTTTACAGAGGAAGACTGGCACAAATGAGGTTTCTATCACAGTTGCAGACCTTGGGGAAAGGAAATAGCAGAGCTGGGGCTGAGTGATGGGAGCGGGGTCGTTGCAGTAATAGCTTTTTCTGGCCGTGCTGAAACAGCTGCCACAGGCAGGGAGGGTACGAGGGAATCGCTCAGTTGTGAGTCTTGCAGAATAAGAACCTGAATCACAAATAAAGACAGACCCTCTCCCCACACCGCCCACCTCCTCTGGACACAAAATTGGGAGTATGCTTAGTCCAAAGTCTCCTGATAAGCTCTCAAGAGTCTGTGTCACATATATCAAGCAAGCCTTATGAAAACATTTAGGTAAACTGTTGGAAGAGAATAGAAAACTGCATTTATGTGAACACAGTGTCCTTAAAGAATATGAAGCAAAAAGACAGAAGAAAAATATGCAGTGAGTGAAAAAATCAGAGCAGGCAGTGCTACTGTCCCCAAGTCATTCTCTGTAGCCGTGGTTCTGCTATTTTCTCCACTTGGGGGGCTGCTGCTGTTCTGTCTCAGCCGAGCCCTCCAGCCCCCCACCTCCCGCTGCAGGACATATGCCCACCACCATTGGCAGAGTTGTATAAATTCTGAGAACTGTGTGTTTGCAAACTTGGAATGCTTGTTCATCAGGCACGTCTGTTACCTGGAAGACAACTTCATTTCAAACATTCTGAACCCCAAATCTAAGTTATCCTATCCCTTGGGGAATGAGTTAGTGCCACAAACTCTGTAGGGCATGTTTCTCGCACTTCTCAGCGTCATCAAACTGAGAGAAGAATGGTGTTAAATGGTAAAGGGTCCCATTTCAGAGTGAGCCAGCACGAGAATACTTTGGAATTCGTTACATACTCATGGAGCCCTTTTCAATCTTGTCAATCACTGGTGAGAAATGCAGAAATAGTGCCTGGCTTGACAAGTATATCACTTTGTGTGAGAAATGGAAGGCTCACATTTATAATCTTGTACCACGTTGCTTCGGCCTTGGGAAGCACCTTGGATTCTGTATTTGCAAATTGGTGTCCCCAGGTTCTTTCTGCAACTAGAGCAACAGAAATATTGGCTAGCTCTGTGGTCCATTCTACAGTCAAGGCGAAGCACCTTACAGCTTTAATTTTTCCAATCATAAGATGGGAACGGCGTCTATTTGCAAAGATTACTTCAATATCCTCAGATGAAATGGTCCAAGAAATAGAGATTAGTATAATGAATTGCTGTGCTTCCAGGGAAAGCCTCTCCATAATATTGTTTTGTTTTTTTCTTTTTTCAGTCTCGCTTACAAAATGTCCACTGTTCATGAAATTCTGTGCAAGCTCAGCTTGGAGGGTGATGTAAGTATATGTTTCACTTTTTATAAGTTTTGTAAATTTGACATTTGGCGGGGTCTGGGTTGCTTCCCTTTCCTTCTGCATCCTAGGCCCTTGGGGGACAAAGTTCAGGCAATCATCCCTCCTCTTGCTTTTCCTCTCATCTTCATTATTTTAGCTCTTTATTGTAGACTTTTATTTTTGTTTGCGGGGGTGGGGGGGACGCGCAGGGGGTGAGGACACCCAGCAGTGCTCAGGGCTTACTTCTGGCTCAGCACTCAGGAATCACTCCTTGCAGGGCTTGGGGGACCTTATGGGATTCCAGGGATAGAACCCAGGTCAGTCGTGTACAAGGCAAGCGCCCTACTCACTATATTATCTCTCCAGTCACCTCTTTCTTAGAGTTGTATTTGAAAGCTATGGCATTAGAAACTTTTTTGGGCACCATGTTAAAACCAGACCAATATGGATGGGGAGAAAGATCAGTGAGTAGCTAGAGTGCAGGCTTATCTGGTATGTCTGCTTATTTGTTTTATAGTTTAAGATATAAAAAATATGCAAATTTTAAGTTATCACAAATATTTTGGGAATCAAGTAGTATCTAATCAAGAGCATATAAATGATGCATGTGTACATAATATAATACTGTAGATCTTTCAGGTCATTTGGGTGGAAATTTATAAAAATTTGACTGTTGGCTTGGCGTGTAACTCAGAGGGTAGCACCCTAGACTGCGTGAGACTCTGGGTTCGATCCCCAGCACTGAATGTGTCCCTTTCCTCTCCATATCTTCCACATATTACTGTGCATAGCTTAGGCTTCCAAGCACCTAACTGTGATTTTTATTTTTTAAAAAAAAAATCAGTAGTGATTGCATTTGTCAGCGTACCCTTTAGTGATGCTGGGGATGAAAACAGGGTTTCCCATGTGCAAAGTGTATTCTGTCCTCTGTGTCCCTCCCAGTCCCCACACCTCACCCTCGGCATGCATTTTTCTGCCAATCCCGTCTTACCAACAATCTCAACATTTCCCTATGGAAATGTTATGGAAAATACCTTGCTATTCCACTATGTCTCAGGCTAATAAATATGAATTAGTTTACAGTTTAACCATGATGTCCCAGAAGGTTTTGGAAATGTTGGGTCTCATCCTGCGCCTGCTTTTCTGGCTTGCGGGATACCCCAGCTGCTAACAGAACAGGAGGCGCCACTCCCGTGGGGCCCCCTCCCAGAACTGACCATGGCATAGGCTTGGCATTAAGGGCATCAGTGCTAGGGAGCAGAGGGGTCTTGATATGGACAGGGCCATCAGCACTCAGCTAATGCAAACCATGTGGCTTTCTTCTTTTCTCCTCCTATGTTTCTGTTGACAGGGCAGGGATGTCATCACAGTCTGTTTTCTTTCTGTCTTTGTGCCACTCCCAGCGATGCTCAGGGCTTTCTTACTCCTGGCCCTGCGCTCAGGGGTCAGTCATGGCAGGACTCCAGGGTCCAACTGGGTCGGCTGCCTCGCTTGCTCTGCTGTGTCTCCGTCCTGAAGAAGGAGCAAGTGAGCCCTTTGGGAAGGAGGAGCACACAGATGCACCCCATCATCCTAACCCTCTGCACGGGGAGGGTTGTTTTGCATTTCAGAAGGGTGGTGGGCTTTGAGAGACTGTGGAAGAGGCAGATGGCATGGCACCAGGAACCCCAGGGGGAACCCCAGGAGACCTGAGAGTGAGCGCAGGGGAGCAGAGTGAGCTGGTCAGTAGCAGAGGATGTGGCACTTGGGACCTGACCACTGTCCCCCGTGGTGGCCAGGGGAGGAAGCTTGGCTCTGTGGGATGGAACCAGGGTTTCCATCCCACTAGGGACTCCTGGGCCTGTGGCAAAAGCCTGGCTGCACCTACTAACAAGCACTTCCACATGCTCATTTCCATTCCAGTGGGTGTCCACCCTGTCACTTCTCCAAAAATTTCTGGGACCCTCAGTCAAATTTCTTTTATTAAAAAAGATTTTATTTAAGGCACCATGATTGACAGCACTGTTGGTGATAAGGCCCCAGCACCACACCCCAGCCAGAGTGTCTCTTCTCTCACCCTGGTCTTTCAGCTCCTATCAATGCCCCTGTCACCGTAAATTCAGTCCTGTGGGCCAGTTCTCAAGTTCTGGTGCCTGTTTTTCTTCATATCCCTTCTAGGAGAGAGACAGTGTCTGTCCCTCTCCTTCTGGCTAACTTCACTCTCCAGATACATCCATGTAGCAGCAAATTTTCTTACACTCAAAGAGTGTTCCAGTGTGTAGACATCCTGTCCATAGTTCCTTTATCCAGTAACTGTTCCTGGACATTTGGGTTGCTTCCAGATCGTGGCTGTCGTGAATGGTGATAAATACACAGGAGTGCAAATGTTTATTTGGAATAGGTTTGTCAGGAGCAGTGAAGATCCTTATCCTATTTGTTGTGAACCCTTCGGGAAGGAGGAGCACACAGATGCACCCCATCGTCCTAACCATCTGCATGGGTTAGGGTTCCCGAAGGGTTCACTGCTCTGGGATCACTTCTGGTCAATTGCATGATACCAAAGACCTGTTCCTAGAATGATTTTAGGGCTCAAGGAGATGATGCAGGAGTTGCCCCACTTTGAGCCCTAGCACACGTGGGCCTGGTGGTCCTCTGTTCCAGGACCAAACAACACCACATCCTTGCATCCCTGCATCCTTGCCTGTTCTCTTCAGCCATCCAGCTTGACTGGCTGAGTACCACAGGCATGGAAGGAAATGTGGTGGGTGGGTGGCAGCTGAGACTCCATGAACAGTGTTCGTGAGGACCGCCTCCTCCCCTGAAAAGAATTACTTGGATTGTTATAAGAAACAATAGAAAGAGGAAAAACATCTAGGAATCAGTATTTGCACCCTTGGTTTTTTGTTTGTTTGTTTCAGGGCCACACCCAGAGGTGCTCAGGGCTTCCTCCTGGCTCACTGCTCTGGGATCATTTCTGGCCGGGCCCAGGGGACCCTGTGTGGTATCAAGGATGAAGTGAGCCAGCCTGGTGCAAGGCCAGCTCCATGCTTCCTGAGCCTGGACCTGGGGCCAGGGGAGGGTCTGAGTCCCGTGTTCGATGTGACTGATGGTGTTGTCTGTCCCACAGCACTCCACCCCACCCAGTGCTTATGGCTCGGTCAAGGCCTACCCCAATTTCGATGCCGAGAGAGATGCCCTGAACATCGAAACAGCCATCAAGACTAAAGGTGGGTCAGCCCCTGCCCTCTGTCCTCTGCCCTCCTTCAGGGCCATGCACCTGGAGGGAGGCACTCTCCGCATCTGTTTCTCTCATATCCATGTTGACATCGGCCTTTGAGCCTTAGTGAGATGTGTCCAGCCCTGCTCCACCCCATACCTTGCTTGCTGCCTTCTCTTCTTCCTTTCCTCCCTTGCTCTCTCCCTTCCTCCTTGGAGGAGACTGCAGAAAGCCGCTAGCATGAGCTGGTAGAGGACCCTGGACCTGGGCTTGAGCTGGTTGCCATGGGCGTGTCGGACTCTGGTCCCAGGAAGTGGAAACTGGTCAGAGCGTGATTCTGAAGGGCCTCCGGCTCCAGATCCCTCAGCATTTCATGGTGTCTGTTGGAACGGTACTGGGAAAACATTCACAGCTTTGTTCTCGGGGTCAATGAAATCAGTGAAACATCTCAGGCCTTTTCTCCCTCCTTCCCTCCATGCTGTAGGGCTCCAGGCCCAGAGGGAGCTGAGATTAGCTCTTCGCAGGAGTGTTTTCCTGAGTTCCAGATTGAGTGAGAGGAGCAGACAGTATGGACGCCTCCTTCCAGGGTCGAGCCGAGAAGTGGCTTCCAGGGAGCGGCTTCTCCTCCCCATCGCAATATGCTGCATCTGTGGGAGGGAGGGCTCAGACTTCTCTCGGGCTTGTGTTCTTCAGGCCCGTGTCTTGGGGTGCCAAGTCCCTGGCTTGGGGTGCCAAGTCCCTCGCCGTGAGAGTGTCATAGTGATGCTTGTGCTTCACTGTGTGGGACTTCCTGCTTAGACAAAGGGGATGATGCAGCCGTACTGGCCTCAACCCCAACCCAGGTCACACCCCACTGGGGAGCCAGAGCACAACATTCTCTCACCTCCCTGACACATATGCAGTCCACATCAGTCACTGGGAGACCAGGAACTCAACCAGCACCGCTCGGGAACCCCAGATGAGGCTTGGGGTCCTGAGTTATACCCATTAAAAGTGTCCCTTTCTTGGGGCTCAAGAGATAGTACTGAGGTTAGGGCACTGTCCTACCAGCCATGTGACTTCTGCCTCGATGGTGGTTTAAATCCTGGCACCATCTAGGACCCCCAAGCACTGCCAGGAGTGATCCCTGAGCGTAGCTAGATATGCCCTTCCCACCCCCAAAAGTATCTCTTTTGGCTCTGTATTGTCCTAGCAGGTAAGTTTTACCTTTCCTCACTCCCTAGAGAAACTGGTGACTTTGTTTCCAGAGAAAGGAAGGACAGCAGAAAGATTCTTTATGTCCTGGGCCCTGCCCCACCCCTCCCTTCCCCATCCCCCGCCCCCCAACAACCCAAGGGATTGTGTCATCGGTCTGATATTTTCTTGGGACACTGGGCACTGCCCATTTGCTGCTTCGAGGGCTGAAGGAGGATGGTGTCCAGATGGAAACTCTGTTTAATTTGGGTTTGGAGGCCACATTCAGCAGTTCTCAGGGTTTAGTCCTGGCTCAGGGCTCAGGGTGCCGGGACTCGAACCCATGCCTTCCACAGGCCAAGTGTGTGCTCCAGTCCTGGTGCTCGCTCCGGACCACAGATGAGCCTCTGTTATCTTCTGTGTCCACACTTTGTCCCTGCCTGTCCTTGTGACATGGCACAGTGGGAAATCAGAAGTCATGTGCCAGAACGAGACACAGTTTGTGTCTCTGGTGGTGCGGAGGGGTGAGAACTGCTCTGTTCTCAGGGTCGAATCTTGACTTTGCCGTTTAGCTGTCTCTCCAACACTGAGAACTTTAACCTTCCTTTTTCTTACTTTTTTTGTTTTTTGTTTTTTTGGTTTTTTTTTTCTTTTTGGGTCACACCTGGCGATACTCAGGGGTTACTCCTGGCTTTGGGCTGGAGCGATAGCACAGCGGGTAGGGTGTTCGCCTTACAAGCGGCCAACATGGCCGACCCGAGTTCGATTCCTCCGCCCCTCTCGGAGAGCCCGGCAAGCTACCGAGAGTATCCGATATGCCAGACACAGTAACAACAAAGTCTCCAATGGAGACGTTACTGGGCCCACTCAAATCGACGATCAACGGGAGGGCCTTTACCTTTTTACCTTTTACTCCTGGCTTTGCACTCAGGAATCACTCCTGGTGCTGCTTGGGGGACCATATGGGATGTTGGGAATTTAACCTGGGTTGGCCATGTGGAAGGCAAACACCCTACCTGCTGTGCTACCACTCCAGCCCCTCTACTTATTTTGAGACCACACCCAGTGGTGCTTGTGGGATCATCAGAGCCAGAGACAGAACCTGGGACCCTGCCTGTGAGACCCCACCCTCCTTAATGCCGCAGCTTTCTCAAGCTGCTGTTTCCCAGGGCAGAGTCACATGAGGCTTCCCAGTATCCAGCAGAGACACACTCTACAGCATGCACACACAGACACAAACACACACAGAGATACAATACAGACAGCATATACGTGCAGACTCGCAATGCAGACAATATGCACACATAGACACAGAGATGACAACATGAACACACAGCACAGACACACAACATAGACAATATGCACACATAGGCACAAACACACACAGACACAATGCAGACAGCATGTACACAAGCACAGAGACACAACACAGACCATATTTACACACAGACACATAACACAGAGATGCACGGAGATACACAACCCAGATGATATGCACATGCACACACAAACACACACAAAACAGGCACACACACAACCCAGACCTACAGAGACGCACAACACAGACATTCATGCACAAACACAGAGAGACGCACGACACGGGCAAAGACGCACATCCAACCTAGACACGCACCGACTCACACCGTGCAGAGACAGTGCACACACACAGTACATGCACACACACAGGCACAGAGACGCCAGTTAGTGTTCCTGAAGTGCACCCCCTCTCTATTTGTGTGCCCACATTCCTGGAATCTCCCAACGTGCCTTCGGAGAAACACACTCAGCTCACACAGCCGCTCGGCTCTGCTCGGCTCGGCTCGGGAGGAGCTTGGTGCTTTAAGAGCCAGGAATAAAGACTGCTTTGATCCCTGTGGGAGAATCATTCAGCACCCTGGAATGTAAAGATTGTGCAAGGGAATCTGGCAGACTGGGAGTGCTGGCAGTGAAATCCCTCCCGAAGCTCTGCTGTCTCCAAGGAGAGCAGCCGGAGGGCTTTCTCGTCGGGTCAGGAGCAGCTGACATTCACCGCCCGGGTGACCGCCTGCTCCTTGGGGATGGGCAGGGCCCAGCGGGGTTCTCCAGGAACTTTCATCCCAGGGGAACCTCGGATGCACCTTACCAAGCCTCCTGCCCCCCACATTGTGGGAACACGCGCTCCAGTGCCATGGTTCAGAACAGGTCTGGCACGCGGCTTCTGCCCGGCCAGGCCTGTGCTCCTCCTTCAGGTCTAGGTTCTTTGCTTTGCCCTGAGTTAAGGAGTTTTCATTTTCATTTTATATGGGCAGTGGTGTGTGTGGGGGGGTGGCGGGGACAGGGACATGGGGACTTTGGGGCCATATGGGGTGGTGCTCAGGGCTTACTCCTGGCTTTGAGTTCAGGGATCTCTCCTGGTAGGACTTGGGGGAACAGGGTGTTGGGAACCAAACCTGGGTCCACTGCATGCAAGATCAGTGCCTTAACCCCCATGCTGTGTCTCAGGGTTGAATTTTGCCCTGAATTTTGATCAGGCTCGAGAGGTACTTTCTCACCGTGTGTTTGGCTGTCAGACATTTGTCATCATGGTGGGCCAGCTTCTGGCTTCTTCCTGGTTTCTCTTCGAAGCCCTGGGAGTTCCACCTCAGACCAAATTTTTCTTTTGGTGCTTAGTGAATTTTCACTTATTTTTTTTTTTAATTTGGGTGTGGGGAGTTTATCATTGGTTTGTAGCTTAGTTAGTGATTTTCCAAAACATAACTTTCTTAAGTCTGTGGACCCTTTAATGTAATTCCTCAGTGCCGGAGAAATAGTACAGCGAGTACAGTTCTTATCCAGCATGCAACCGATCTGGGTTCGATCCTTGGCATCTCAAGCACTGATAGGAGTGATTGGTGAGTGCAGAGTCAGGGATAGAGCACCTCCAGGTGTGGCCCAAAAACAAACAAACAAACAACAACAACAACAACAAAAAAGAACAAGAAAAAGTAAATCTTACTTGCCAGTAATGTTTCAGTATGTTTGAATTTTAAGTTCTTCTAAGCAATAACTGATAAGAAAGCTCATCTACCTATGCAGAGCTCAGTATTGTCACTCTGCTTTTTATGTAAGAAACCCAGAGCTACCAGGTAGTTGGGCAGAAACTCAGTAATTAGGGTGACTCCCCAATATTGGGCTGAGGCATTTTTCACAGAGACATGAAAAATGAGTTCCTGAACAGTTTTTCGCGGGGCCTTCCAAATGTTGCTCGGAGGACTTGGGGACCCTTGTGAGGGTCTGAGGGTGTGGTAATGCGCAGGACATGGGGTGCAAGGGGTTACCTGGGCCACCCCAATGGAGTTGTGGGCACCCTGGGGTGTCAGGGATTGAACTGGGTTGACTGTGTGCAAGGCTTGCGCTGTGGCCCCCTACTATCTCTCTGGCTCCCAGAAGAATTTTTAGCATTTTTGAAATATCATTCACATTCCATACACATCACTTATGTGAAACATCGTTCAGCAACAGTAGATTAACATGGCCACTTTAAAATAGCTGTAATATACATTCATCCTAAATGTGTCGGTCCATAGGAAAGTGGGTATTGAATGCATGCAGTGTGAGCGCTGGATAGTTTTCATGTCAAAAAAGAAAAATTATGAACTGATATACATATAATTATGGCTAATTGTTTTCCTTTCTCACGCTTTCAGAGTGTTCTGTTGTTTCCAAATTTTCTGCTCTGACACTTACTGCCTTCACAATGGAAGACAATGAACTTAATGGAAAACAAAATGAGGCCATTATTGAGAAAAAAATCCCTTTGTTTCCTTCTCCTTCCCCTGGTATTTTTAGGTAGCCAACACCATTTTAAAAATAGAGCTG